CGACCTCGATGAGCTGAAAGCGGCCAAGAGCCTGGAGACGGTGTACCTGGAGCGGAACCCCCTGCAGAAGGACCCCCAGTACAGGCGGAAGATCATGCTGGCCCTGCCCTCTGTGCGGCAGATCGACGCCACCTTCGTCAGGTTCTGAGTCCTCCTGGCTCCTGCCAGGTCCCTCTCTTCACAAGAACTTCCCAGCCACGGTTTTTATCCACCCGTTGCTCCTCAAGCCGGCACTCTATCAGCAGTCACAAACCCAATGGCAATAAAAAGGCACTGAGTGATAACTGCAGTGTGTGACGCCCGCGCCACTTGGGGACGCCGTGGCCCATACGCCGCCACCTGGTGGTGTAATGCCCGTGGCGCTCCCGCCACGTCTGTGTCCTCCTCCTCAGACGGGCGGGCTGGTGGGGGTGAGGGCGCTGCCTGGGGTGGGGGCACTCGGGGGCCGGCCTGGCAGCCCAGACCTGTTTGGTCTTATCGACCAAGTGACGCCAGGGTTTTTCTAATCATACGTATTTCAGAACAAAACCGTGGGCGCAGGATCGTGGCGTCCATGTGCTGTGACCCGCTGGGCTCCTCGACAGCCATGGCCGTGCGCCTGGCCCCCTGCCGACCGCTGCCCGGGCCGCCCGTCCGTGCCTCTCCGAGGCCCGGGCTGCCCGCGAGCGCCCGAGGGGCTGCTGCCCGAGCGCCTGGCCACATGGTGCCGCTGACCGCGCAAACCCAGCCGAGGCTCTGCTCAAGACCTGCTCCAAAGAGCTTACGTCTTGACAGCCTCTAACGTCGCGTCCCAGTCTTACCCCGTCCTTATGCCAGCTTGTTTCTTAGAAGATTTACATCGGCAGTCACCCGGGGTCTGAATTTAATGCTACGGGACCTTAGCCTCTCTTGGGGTCTCAGATTTCCCTGCTGCAGAAAGAGGACTGAAGCAAGTGGCCACTGTGGGTCCCTTCTCCAAGATTCTAGAGTGGCACTGTCCAGTACGGGGGCCACCTACCGCCACGTGTGGCTGCCTCAATTCAAATTTGAATGTGTTAAAATAAAATGAAATAAAGCATTCACCTCCTCGGTTGCACTTGCCACATTCCAGGTGCTCAGTAGCTGCATCTCGCCAGGGGCAGCCCTGCCCCCTCCATTCTCATGAGGAGACCAAGCAGGTCAGAGGTCCCCGGGCGACAGGGTGACCCCTGCCAGGAGTTGTGGATGCGGCAGTAGTTGGCCTGAAGCCAGGAGCACCTGCCCACAGAAAGCAAACGCGGCGAACGAGGGGGTGGGAGGGCGTGCGCCCAGAAGGGGCCTTGGGATGACGGCCCTAGAGGTCACAGAAGAAAGTTTAGACCCCAGGATTCACGATTGGAATGCCCTTGCTGAAAGCCTCACTCCCGGGAGCCCTGCACCCGAGCACAAGGCGGAGACCTGCAGGAGTGCAGGCGACGGGCCTGTGGAGCCCTCTGCGGAGCTGGGGCGGCGTTCTGGCCCACGCACGGGAGGGACGTGCCCGTGCCCTGGAAAGACAGGGTGTGACATCAGCCACGAGGGCATCACTTTTTAATCTGGGAGGCAGAGCGTGGCCAGTGGCTGCAGAGATTGTGTGGCACGAGCAAGGAAAGGGAGCAATCGCTCATAAACGGTGCGCGGGAGGCCAGATGTTGGCAGTCGCCACTAACGGAACAGGTGTTTCCTCACGGGTGGGAAAAGAAACCCAAAGGACAGTAGGAGAAAGGCCTCAGCAGGCCCGTCCTCGTGGGGCTGGGACACGGACGCTTGCCCAGCGTATCTGTGCGTCACAGACGCAGGAAACTTCGGGGGTGGAGGGGGCGGAGCACGAGGTGCTGAACCCAGCGCTGTCCCAGTCACGGGCCATCCATTGAACCCTAAAACCCACACTGAGCCTTGAACGACTTTGGACAAGAGGCAAGAGAGGCAGTTTCCTGCTGGATCCCAAAGGCTGCAGACCGGGTTGGGGGGCGCCTGGCACGCCGTGGGCAGGACATCCCCTGCAGGGCCAAGTCCCGCGGGTCAGAAACCCCCGGTGTGAACGGGAACATCAGAGGAGGGGCTGTGGGCCTCCCAAAGTAGGACCGCAAGACGGGCTTTTGATGGGTTCCTTCACACAGAAGTGGAATTCGGCAGCACACGGAACGCCAAGAGTAGAGCAGATGCGAATGAAGATGCTCACAGTGTGTACATCCAGCAAAGGCCGCATCGAAGAACCCTGCTGGAAACCGGCCCAAGGCAAGAGGAGGCCCGTCAGGGAAGCCAGAGGGCCGAGGCCCCCCACCTTCCCCCCACCTTCCCCCACACCGCCATCGAGACGCACACCGCGAAAGGGGCCACCCCTGTGCACCTACCCAAAATTAGCTCATTGGAAAGCTCCCGGCGCGGGGTGTCACCGGGGGGGGGGGGGAGGGACCCCAGGGGCACCTGAGCCTCGAACAACGCACCCCGCCCTGGGCACCTCAGTACCTGCTCCTCAGCAGGAAGCAGCCACAGTGCCCACTCGGAAACCCAAGGAGGCCACGGCCGCAGAGACCACATGTCCGTGGGAGAGGGCTCCGCAGGGGCACGCACACAGGAGGGAACAGCCCTCCACAAGGTCTGAAACAACCCCAAGCAAAGACACTGCCTGGGGTGGGGGTGGGGGGCAGAGGTGGTGGAATGAATAATAAAGTGTGGGAAAGCCTGGCTACAGGGGGGTTCGGCGTCCTTTGAGGTACTTGGGTTACATCAAGGAAAAAAACGAGCCTTTTATTTTTTTAAGATTTTTAAAAAAATCCCTGCCCTGGGGGGCGTAGATGAAGGGACAACCATAGACAATAGAAGGTGACTTGCCCTTTGGAAGAAAGCGGAGCGCGTGGACAGGCTCACTGGCGGCAGGGGTGGGGTGACCCTGATGAGAGGCAGACCCACCCTGGGGGTGGGGGGAAGGAGGCTGAGGCGGCAGCAGAGAGGAGGAGGCCGAGCAGAGGGCGGGGAGAGGGAAGCCTCCAGCAGAGCATCCTGGAAGGGGGACCTGCAGAGGAGGCCTGGGAACCCCAACCCGTGGGCGTGGGGCCCTTGGCGGGAAGAGCCCGTGTGGGGAGCTAGATGTGGTGGCCCAGGAGGCCGCGAGGGAGGAGCAGGGAGGTTTCCTGGCAGGGGAGGCACCCTGAGGAGGGGCGGGGCCCAGGAACGCAGACACCTCCTGTGGCAAGAGGCCAGCAGCGAGGGTGGAGGTGGGCGGGGAGTGGACCAGGTGGCCACCGGGGGAGGGTGCTTGCTCTGTGCGGAGGGAATGTTTGGGAGGGAGGTGGGGGGCTGGGCAGGGTCCTGAGGGCAGGGGTTGAGGGAGCGGGAGAGCGTGCGGGGCACAGGAAGACGGCCCACCCCTCAGACTGGGTGCAGGGCAGGTGAATGTTGGGGAGCAGCGGCGCCCCCCGCTGGCAGTCACTTACCAGGACCATTCAGCCCAGTGATTGTGTTGGGAGCAGCCAGGTGCCCACCCCCAGGGGGGAGGCGCACTGGTTCTACCCCAGCCCCGGGGTCTGTTCCCGTTCCAGGCTGTCTGGCGGCCGGGTGGCCTGGGGCTCATGCTTAGCCCGAGGCACCTGCTGTCCTGAGGGCAAGGGCCGGCGTGGCCGGCTCGGGGCCGGGAACCTGGACCTGGCGGCTGGGCCTGCTGCGTCTACTGAGGTGAGGAAAAGCTGTTTTGTTACGCCACAGTTGGAGGCTTTTTTCCCACTTCCACCAACATATTTCTCAGTGTTACACAAATGAATATAAAAAGTTATCGTCAAAAAGCCCGGTGTAGCAGATCCGGGGCCTGGGCTCTTCTCCGCACCTGCGACCCAGCACACCTCTGCTCCTGCTAACTTGCTTGCTTTTTTTTCCCTTTTCTTAACTTTTAAAAACTGCACGAGTAATGCAGCTTGAAAAAATGTCAAACCATAAAACATTGTAGAAAGTAAACGTTTCAACCCTCCGCCGGGATGAGTGCTGTCTCCGGTGTCCTGCGTGCGCGTGGCCTCCACGGCTCCAGCTGCGGTGAGCGGCTGCCCCGTCGGCTGCCCCCTCGGCCGCCCCGCCGCTCTTTGCCGGCGGGCATCACCGGGGCCACCGCGAGCAGAGTGCCGGGAACCCCCCGGAGCTGACCTCTTCCCGGGCCCTTCGCGTGCGGCCGGAGCAGTGTAGAGTTGTCTCAGGCTGGGAAAACTCCGGGCCACCCCTTCCTGTCCAGAGGCCCTGTGGGATCAGGCTGACGCCCCCCTGAGGGTATTTCTCCTCCCTCCGCCTGCCTCACCCTGCTTCCCGGCTCTGGAGCATCCCCAGTGCAGGCGGTACCCGGGAACCCATCTCGGGGACCCCAGACAGAGAGCTCAGTGCGGACCCTCCAGCTCAGGGTGTCCCTGCTGGGCCCCGACCCACTGCACAGGGTCTCCCTGGGAGGGGGGTGGGGGTCAGAGATGCAGCCAAGACGACGGCGCCACTCGGGGTTTTGCACAAGAGGGCCCCAAGAGAGCAGAGCTGTGGGGAGGACGGAGTGGGACCCCTCCCTGCAGTGAGCAGGGCTGCACCCCGTTTCACAGATGGACCCTGAGGTCGCACCCGGGAAGCGGCAGAACTGGCTGTGTCTCCGGAGGGGCGGCCCACCAGGCAGAGGTGGGGCGACCCCACTGCGGCTGCAGCTGCCCCTGCCAGACACCCCCGCTCCCAAGCCCTCCACAGCAGCAGCCGACCCCCCTAAGGAAGTCAGGGGAGAAAGATGAGCGGTGTCCTTTGCTGGGAGGACCGTGGCATTTGCGTGTGGGACGTGGAAAGGCTCTAGGAAAATGGGCTGCCTCTGTTTGCAGACCCAGACCCCCACACCCCCTTCTCAAACAAAGGCAGATCCTGTTCCAGGAGCAGGGGAGACCTTGCCCCCAGCCAGCTGGCTATGCCAGGCCCCTCTCCTGCCCATTTGCCAGGCAAGGTGAGGACATGTGAGTGGCCAGCCCCACCTGGGCAGGGCCACGAGGACACGGTCCCTCCCAGTTCTCTGCCTGCAGGTCTGGCCCAGACTCAGCTGCCCAGACCAGGTTCGTGCTGGAAGGGTGTCCACGACCTCGGAGGCCTCTTCCGGAAGCCGCTGTGCCAGGTGGGAACCTGTTCCATGATGCAAGAGCCACGGGGAGGGAGGGAGGGAGATGGACTCCAGGGAGGCTGGGTGAGCACCCCCAGCCCATCAGGGCTCCCAATGCCCTGAACTGTGGGCTCACCCTGGTGCCCCAGAGGCCTGCCTGGCCCTGGGGGAGGATGAGAAAGGCCAGGTGCTCAGCACCTCCAATCCTAGGGAACCTCAGTTTTCCCACCTGTCCAGTGGGCCCACCGTGGAGCAGGTCACTTCTGTGGCCTTGGTGACTGGGGCGTCCTCTGTCCCCGTCCTCTGTGCACAGAGCACTCAGAAGGGGACACCCCCGCACCCCCACACCACAGCAGGGGGCGTTCAGCAGCACCAAAGGCTGCCAGCTGACTTCAAACTCTTGAGAATCCCTTCAGGAGTGCCCCATGACGCACACTACCTGTACCGGGACCGTGTCATGATGCCAAGCCCTGGCTCTGGGCTGTCTGGAACCTGGAAGACAGTCAGGAGCTGCGGGCTCACATCTCTGCCTCTCTGGGCCTCAGGCTCTCTGGCCTCCATGAGCTGTCCCCGCCAACCTCCTGTGGCTCCTTCACCCTCACACCCTCCCAGCCTCCGGGAGGCCCCCACTCAAATCCCCCCCCGGGCCACAGCACCCCTCTTGCTCTTTGCCCCACTGTGCCAACCTGTCAACTGGAACAGAGGCATCGGGTGGGGAGGACGCAGCATCAGCGTGGCCAGGCCAGCCTCCCCGATGGTCCAGGAGGAGCCGAGGTCCTGTCTCCATTAAAGAGTATCATCTGCTCCTCCTGCAGGGGAGCAGAAAGAAGAGGGGGCCGCTGAGCCCACCCCTCTGGGCCCCTCAGGCCCCACCACCCCAGACAGGGCTGAGAGGGAGGGAGGCACACATTGGACAGGTGGACAGACAGACAGCTGCTGGGCCAAACCTCCCAAACACTCCCTCCTTGTCCTTGATCTGCTCCCGGAGCTGGAGGCCCACGTGGGGGACCGTCCTGTGCTTCCAGGTGGGACAGCTCAGCCTGGCACCCGCCCTGGCCACGGCTCCAGCCTGTGCCCTCCCCGGGGAAGTGGGTTCACGTGGGCTGTGTGGGAACACGGGGACCACGTCTCACGGGCCCACCTGGGCTGTGGGGTGCAGGAGCGGGATGCTGCGGAGGCAGGCCTGGGAGGAGGACAGTACCATCCTGATCAACATGTCCCTTGGCTCCGAGAGTGGCGACTCGTACGGGAGCACAGCCAACACCTCAGAGGTAAAGCTCAGGAGGCAGCCTCTCGCCTCCCCTCCCTGGGACCCAGGCCCACAGTCAGCTGTGGATTTAGGAGGGTCTCTCCCTGCCTGGGCCTGAGCCCCGCCCCCCCGACGAGACTCAGGGACCCGGAAGACAACGGCCCCAGCTAGCGCCCCCAGCCTGTGGGCGTGGACCCAGCGCCCATGGCCACGGTGTCTTCCCACAGCCTTCACCCGATGCCCGGACCTCCTGTGCCCTTGAGCTGCCCCGGTGCAGGGAAGGGGGAGGCTCCCAGGTCACCACCCAGCTCACCGGCCCTGGGCACATGCAGACAGCCCCAGGGACAGGCCAGGCGAGAGGCCAGGCTCAGGCTGGGCCAGGCCAGGTCCCACCGGCTAGAGGGACGCATATCGTGTCCTGAAGCTTAAACACAGAAATGTTCCTTAAGATGCTGTGTTCTGACGTATGCAAAGCGTGGAAGTGGCCTGGGAGGGGGGCAACCCCCCAACAGCCCCTGCCCCAAAGGAGGGATGAAGGACGTCAGCTATGTCCACGGTGTTTTGTTACCTGCCTGGGGGTCACCTGGACCTTCTAGAAACCCTCTGGCGCCATCACCACCTCTGGCCTGTGTGCAGAACCACTTCGGGGGCTGTCTGGCTCTCCTCCAGCCGCTGGAGGCCCTCAGTTGTGGTCCTGCCCATGTCACCTCCAAGCCTGACCCTTGCCCACAGCCCAGCCAGGTGCTTGGAGGCCCATGTGGCCTTCGGGAGGCCGGAGGGGGCATGAGGTTGGCCTCAGCCCTGGACGTGCCTGCGTCTGGAAGCCGCTCTGCCCACACTCGGTGGCTGTGTTCTCTGCTCGTCCTTCTGTGTCTGCGGGGGGGGAGGGGCCCTGAGGTGGAGGGGGACAGAATGTGGAGGAGTCATTAGGGTCAGAATGCTGCCATGCCTCTTCCTTTCCTTCCAGCTGAATGGACACCAGGAGGCCGGCCGCAGGGTGGGGAACCCTTCCAAGCCCCAAATAGGTAAGCCACTCCCAGTGCCTGACAGCTGTGCCCAAGTTAGTCCTGGGGGTGGGGACACAGACGGGATGCCCACGGGTGGTGGCCGGTCACCATCCCCAGTAACCAGGCCACCCCTCCCCCCCAGCACTCTCTCCGCACCAGCTCTGGGGCCACCCGCCGTGCCCAGGGTGCAGCGAGGGCCTGGCGGGGCGCAGGGCACGGCCGGGGAGCTGGAGCCGGCAGGGAGGGGGTCCCTCCCGAGGGGGCGGGGCTGGAGGGCTCCAGGGGGGCCGCGCCCCGCGCTCCTGCCCCCGCCCAGGAGAAGGCAAGCCTGCCCCTCCCAGCACCTGGGCTACCCACTGCTGCCCGCACCTCACACCTGTTAGGACAGCAGCTATTACAAGTAATAAAAGAAAACAGAAAATAACCAGCGTCAGCGAGGACGTGCTGGACCCCCGGGCGTTGCGGGCGGGAGTGGGAGCTGGTGCGGAGAGCTGGGTGGCAGGTCCTGGATGAGACCTAGAGCCACCCGGTGAGCCAGCCACCCCGCTTGTAGGTGTCTCCCCGAAGGATCTGGTGATGGATATTCTGCTGGTTCATGTGAATAACGCAGCGGCAGTGAACATTCGTGCCCCAGATTTCGTGGGACACGTTTCTTTTCTGGGGCACGTGCCTTTGAGGGGTTGTTGGGGGACGGCAGGGTCATATGGTAACTCGAGGTTGAATGCTCTCAAGAAACCGCCCAACTGTTTTCCAAAGTGACCGTAGCACTTCGCAAACCGCCGGAGTTTCTCCGCACCATCCCTAGCGTTCCTACTGCCTGCCTGATGAGCCATCCTAGTGAGGACCACGCGGCGTCTCCCTGTGCTTCTGATCTCGAAGTCCCCCCGGCTGATGATACCCAGCATCTTTTCAGCGGCTTATTGGCCCCTTGTCTGTCTTCTATAGAAAAACAGCTATTCACAATCTTTGCCCATGTTTAAATTGGGCTATTTTATCTTTCTAGTGTTGAGTTGAAACGTTCTTTATATATATTGAATATAGGTTCCTTATTAGATATATGATTTGCCAATATTTTCTCCCATTCTCTGGGCTACTTTTCACTTTCTTGGTGGTGCTTTTGAAGCACATAGCTTTTTTTCTTTTCATTTTTTTAATTTTATTATGTTAGTCACATTCATTACATAATTAGATTTGATGTTTTGTTCCATGATTCATTGTTTGCATATAACACCCAGTGCTCCATGCAGAACGTGCCCTCCTCAATACCCACCACCAGGCTAACCCATCCTCCCACCCCCCTCCCCTCTAGGACCCTGTTTGTTTCTCGGAGTCCATAGTCTCTCACGGTTCGTCTCGCCCTCCGATCTCCCCCCTTCATTCTTCCCCCCCGCTATCTTTTTTTTTTCTTAACATATATTGCATTATTTGTTTCAGAGGTACAGATCTGAGATTCAACAGTCTTGCACAATTCACAGTGCTCACCATAGCACATACCCTCCCCATTGTCTATCACCCAGCCACCCCATCCCTCCCACCCCACCCCCCACTCCAGGAACCCTCAGTTTGTTTCCTACAATTAAGAATTCCTCATATCAGTGAGATCATATGATACATGTCTTTCTCTGTTTGACTTATTTCACTCAACATAATACCCTCCAGTTCCATCCACGTTGTTGCAAATGGCAAGATCTCATTCCTTTTGATGGCTGCATAATATTCCATTGTATATATATACCACATCTTCTTTATCCATTCATCTGTCGATGGACATCTTGGCTCTTTCCACAGTTTGGCTATTGTGGACATTGCTGCTATAAACATCGGGGTGCACGTACCCCTTCGGATCCCTACATTTGTATCTTTGGGGTAAATACCCAGTAGTGCAATTGCTGGATCATATGGTAGCTCTATTTTCAACTTTTTGAGGAACCTCCATCCTGTTTTCCAGAGTGGCTGCACCAGCTTGCATTCCCACCAACAGTGTAGGAGGGTTCCCCTTTCTCCGCATCCCCGCCGACATCTGTCGTTTCCTGACTTGTTAATTTTAGCCATTCTGACTGGTGTGAGGTGGTATCTCCCTATTTCAGCTACCCTTTAAAATATGCTGACGCAAACTTGTTCATCATAAGATGATTTTCTTAAGCTCTTCTGTTTTGGTAGTTATGACCTCATTTTCTTTTCAGATAGAATTTTTGTTTCTCTTAAAAATCAATCTTCTGGACTGGACACCTTAACTCATTTGTTTTGTCTTTCTTGGGTTTTAATAAGCGAATTTATGTCTGTCTCTAAGTTTACGTGAACCTACCCCTTAAAAGCCTCATTTCGTTGGTAACACCTCTGTCCTTTACTTCTGAATATTTCATAACTGCAGTTGTGATCTCCCTATTTATCCACGAGTTATTTAGGAGAGTAAGCTCCCCAATGTGGAGGTTTTTTGTTTTTCTACTTTTAAAAAATCATTGATTCTGGGGTCATTGCTTGGAGCTCAAAGAGCCTGAAGAGTCCGGATTCTGGGGGTCATTGCTTGGAGCTCAGAGAACCTGAAGAGTCTAGATAATGCAAATCTGTCACATTTGCTGAGTTTTCCTTTATGACCTGCTCAGTGGATTTTTGCTGTTTCAGGTGAACTTGAATGCTATGTTTTGAAGCAAGGCTCTCTATATACTTACGAGGTAAAGCTTTTCTGCTCAGATTTCCATTTTCTTTTTCCCCCTGCTCTGTCGGACTCCGATAGAGGGTGAGAATCTTTCCAGGAATGTAGTTGTCAGTTTCTTCGTGTACTTGTCTTCTCTTGCTTTATGTATTCTGAGGTTCTCGCAAGTTGCAAATAGGTTCATATTTATGATTTCTTCATAGTGGATACTTTTTCATTTCTTTTTCCTTTTTATTTCTCTTCTGCCTTCTGGTGGCTGAGTAGAAGTGTTCTCTCTTTTCCTCTTTTTGCTCACTTGGAACTGATGGTGTCCATTTTTATTATTTTAGAGGTTACCCTTACATTTTTAGCATTCATTCTTAACTATATAAACGTTCCTTACCAAGACTGTAGGGATTCACTCGTCTCCTTTCCCCGTGTGACAAGGATCTTCACACATTTACTGCTGACGGAGCACCCACCACTGCACCTTATTATCGTTACACAGTTTACTTTTACTATTAAAAAATAAAAACACTTTTAGTCATTTGTTAACACATCTATTTGGTGCATTTTGGTAGCTTCTGTGGCTATGGTTTCTTCTGCATTGCCTTCCCTCTGAGTTCATTTTTATTCTTGCCTGGAATTGCACTTTCAGGAATGGTGTGTGGTTGGCAAACCCAGACATAGGTTGGTTTTTACGTCAGGAAATATCTCTTTGTCTTTCAAATAGTAGGCATACAATTCTAGGTTATTTTCCCTCCTCTCTTTGGGACTATTACTCTCTTGTGACCTGGCTTTTCTTGTAGGAAGCATTGGTAGCATTAGAAAGTTTTTTCCTCATTTTCCTTGACTTGTGTCATGGTAGAGTCTACTTAAAAGTTGAAACTCAGTGTATGCTTTTGATCTAAAAGGTGATGTCTTGTCTTTTAGTTTCGGAAACCTCTCCACTTCATTGTTTCAAAGAGCTTCTCGGGGCTCCCGGGTGGCTCAGTCGGTGAAGTGTCTGCCTTCAGCTCAAGTCATGTTCCCAGCGTCCTGGGATTGAGCCCCCATTGGCCTCCCTGCTCAGTGGGGAGTCTGCTTCTCCCTCTCCCTGCAGCTCCCCCCTCTTGTGCTATCAAATGAATAAATAAAATCTTTAAAAAACAAACAAAAAAGCCCCCCCAAAACAAACAGAGCTTCTATAGTCTGCATTCTCAGCTTCTGGAACTCCTGCCACATTGGAGTACCTCTGATTTCCCTTCATGTCTCCTGAGGGCATGGTGAGTATTTGTTACATCTTCTGGCTCTCTGTAGAGCATTCAGGGTGACTTTGAAGAATTGTCTCTGTGTCCCCAGTCTCTCTTCTGTTGTGTCTAGTTTAGCCACTGAAAGTTTATTACATTCATGGATGGTTTTTCCCTCAATTACTGTTTAATATTCGAGATTTTCCCCCTCTACAGAGTTGGCCCTGGTAGCGCTTTCCATGGAGTGCAGCATGTAAGTTTATGTCGCACCTTATCAGAAGTACAAGAAGCTGTCAAAGGATGGCAAGATGACAAACCAGAAATACCGAGCTTATTCTTCAGTCAGGGAGAGCGGTGCTGGGCAGGCAAGTGTGAGTAGAGCTCGCTGCTGGTCTCGTGGAATGGCACGTTCTCACAGTTAGGGTGACACCACCCATAGAACCACAGATTTATTGTATTAGCACATCCGCTGGACAATAGGACATTTGCCACTGTGGGGCCCAGTTTAGGCTACAGGGGAATGGGACAATCCAGCCCATCTATCCCTTTGGAACCCCAACACTGAAAGCTGAAGGTCCTGTCAGAGTACCCTGGGTAGGAATACTCCTCCTCCACGCGCCCTCAGGTAAGCCTGGCCCAGAGTCATAGGATCATGGGAGGAAAAGGTGGAGTCCCAGCTGCCCACACTGACTTCCCAGTCTCCTGCAGGTACCAGGCTTTCAGGGAAGATGATGAGCACAATTCCCTGACCTACTGGAATTTTCTGGCCATCCGCCTGGCCTTCATTATTGTGTTTGAGGTTAGCCAGGTTCCCAGTTCCCCAGCTGGCTTCTCCTACTGCCCCCACCCCGCCCTCAGGATGCCTTGCCACATCCACCATGTGGTGTGCAGGTGTTGGGGGGATGGGGGTACAGACACGCCATCACCTGGTCGCATCACAGCTCTCCTGCGCACGGTCTTCTCCCCACCTTGGGGACGGTCGATCCCTGCCTGGCCTCTGTCTCTGATCACTGCAGTGTCCCAGGAGGCTCCCCAGGGCCCCAGAACCTGGGACAGGTCTCTGTAGCCGTGGCTTCCGCCTGCACTGGGGATTTCCTCGGCTACACCGCTGTTCTCCAGCTCAGCCCACACCTGGGAGCAGGTGCCCACACCTGGCCCTGTTCAGGCCGCTCTAGGCATCTGTTCTACAAAGGGCGGGTGCCTTCTGCTGCTGCTCATACTGTATCCTGCTCCCAGCACGTGGTGTTCTCCATTGGCCAGGTCCTCGACCTCCTGGTGCCCGACATTCCTGAGTCTGTGGAGGCCAAAGTGAAGCGGGAGTACTACCTGGCCAAGCAGGCACTGAGAATGAGGTGAGCCCCTCCGCCTCCCCGCCCGTGTCACCTTCCCTTGTCCACCAGTGGCATGGCGCCTGGCCCGGTGCTCTGCCGTGGCACGTGACAGTCCACGGTCAGTCCAGTCCCTCCCTCCTGCACCCTTTCCTGAAGACAGGCTTTCTCTGGAACAAACTGAGCAAAGGACAACAGCTCCCTGGGCTCGGAGAAGAGTCTGGGCCCACGGCCTACAACGCCAGGAGTCGGCCATGCCTCACCCGTCCCCTCCCTCTGAAGTCACAGGGGTCACCTCAAGTTGGTAGTCACACCTGGAGGGCAAGGACTCCGAGGACCCAGAGCTATCAAAGGCTCACCGCCCTCGAGAGACCACAGCTCACCTCCTGCCCCTTCTTGGCCCAGAGCGCTGTGCCCTCAGTGACCCTGGGCCTCTGCTCATGCACCTTACCTCCCAGGTGCTGGCTGGGGGCCCCCAAGCCCAGCTGACTGTAGCAGCAACAGCTGGAGCTGCTCCCTGCCATGTCTCTCCCAGCCCCCAGGCCAGGTGGCTCCTCTCACCCCTGCTCAGGGCCCACTGCCTGCTTCCCTCCCAGCCCCTCGCCTGTCTGCTCTCAGGGCACCGATCCACCTCCCACATACGCCAGCTGGGGGAATCACACCAGAGACTAGAACTATCCATGGATATCCAGTTACCACTCAAGAGCATGCTGAAGACACCCCTGGTTCCACGGGACCAAAAAAAGACATGCCGCATGACAAAATGAATTCTAGCACACTGTATCCGGTTTTGGGTTTTATTTTAGAATTTATAAAATTCCAGTGTCATCCATATTCGTAAGCCTTTACACATGTTTGCATATAATCTCCAGATTCCAAAATTAAGGCCAAGGGACGGATCATAGCTATGGAAACACATGATATGGAAGACATTCAACAAAGGAAATGGACACGCACACCCCACCCTGCCCAGGGCTGTCCCAGAAGCAAGGTGGCTGCAGGAGACCAGGCCTGGGCAGGGTCACCAAGCAATCTTTAGTAACCACCACCAAAAACAGAGCA